GAACGATGTCGACGAAGGCAATATGCAGGCGCAGTGGGCGTAACGTCCTTGCGGGGGATCTTGGGTTGGAATGTAGGTCCACTTTCGGGTGGGAACATCGTAGATGTAAATGTCCGACATGACGGTCACCTCTGGCTGCTGATCCGGGCCTGCGTTCGCTTGATTTGGTGTGGGAGACATGCCTCCATAGCATACCAACTTAGTGTCTCCTAATGGACACATGGAGTGGAAGTATCGAGGCGGTGGTATATCGCCTGTGGTTTCCAGCTTCGACCAATGCCTGCGGACCAAGTCCAACTCGTACAGATCGGATGTCAGAGGAGCCGGGCGACTCCGCGACAAAATTCTTCCTCCAAAGACATAAAGTTTATCCCCTAGTATAGTTGTTGTAGCTCCGACAAGCGGATGCGGTTCCCTGCCTGTCGTCCTATGCACATTGCACATAAGTCCGGATAGATGCGCCGAGGATGAGGACGCAGTGGGTGTACCAACCGCCGACGCGGGTGTTCTTTGTTGGTTGGAAGACTGGTTGGAAGATGGAGAAGGGCCTGCTGACAAGGGACCGTTGCTCCGCGGAGTCAAGTTTGGTGGTTCCCTATTATTATTATCGTCGGCTCCATCTTGTCTCGAGGAGCTTGCTAAGCTACTCTGGCTGCTGGCCATGTCGGCGTTGTATCCTGATCCGCCGCTGTACATCTGAGCTCGTTCCGCTGAGGCGCTAGAGTCCATCGTACTGGTACGACTATACATATCATCGGCCGGAGCTTCCTCGATGGCACCGAGACCCCCCAAATTGTAATGTGCAGGAGGTGCTTCAGGCCCCGTAGGAGAAGGAATCGATGCTGGCGGTTCGGGTAGTGGTTTGGCGAGGCTGCTCTGTAGGCTTAGACTCCTCCCATGCTGGAGCTGCTGGCCCGGGCGATTTTTGGACGAGTTTGGAACGGGTGTCGGCGTCGAAGAGGTGGGGGGAGAGGGCGACGAGGTCAAGCTTGGCGAGACGCTGTGCAGACCCAAGCGAGAAAGTGACGGCTGTCTTGTCAGCCTCGATTCGCCGTCTCGACTCGGGGCGAACTTTTTGAAGCCGCGATACACGCCCGAGAGGATATCTGAAGTCGTTTTGGTTGTAGGAGGAGATCTGTCCTGCTCCGTCTCCGAATCGGAAAAGCGCGAGAGATCGCCCTGCGCGGAAGACTGGTTCGAGGTTAGTCCCGGGCCAGACATTGCGACACAATCAGCCCCCAGGCTGTGGATACAGCCTGGAGAGCGATGCGCAACAGAAACAGTCTCGGCGGGTTGAGAAAAAGAAAAGCGCTCAGAGGCTCAAAAAAGGAGGTTGAGTGGTTTTCATATAGGGCGGGATTTGGGAACCGAGTCGGTCAAGCAAGGTGGGTTCGGGAGGAGAGAGGAATTCGGCAGAAACTGCTGCTTCTGCGCCAGATTGCCAAGGTCTGATTCGGCGTCGATACCACAAGATTTGCAATAGGCCAGAGCAGTCGCAAAGAAGTAGACAAGAAGAGTAGTCGCGGTAAAGAAGCGGTGGGGTGAGGAAGTGCAGAGGGTGGCCGGCTCGTTCTTGAGGTCCGAGGTGGTGAAGAAGTGAGGGCACACCGACACACGACAATGCTAGAGCCAGAAGAAAGCCCAAGAAGCGGAAACCAAAGGTAAGAAAGGGAAAATGCAGAAAAATGAAAATTGAGTAGATGATGAAGCGAACAGAAACCCCAGCTCAAGCAATCCCAACCCAGGTTCGCTTGTTCATCCGGCTCTGCTAGGCCCCTGGTAACTTATGACGGGTAGGCTCCGGTTGAGTATCTGTCTGGCTTTCACTCTGTGCGTGTTGTGCGTCTGTGTCTCCGGGGTGGATTCCTGGACTAGACCGGGCTCGGCTGGGATTGGGACTGGGCTGGGCTGAGGGAGCGAGGCCTTGTCTGCTCCGTTCTTTTGTGCGTGTTTCCCTCTCACTCCCTCTTTCTCTTTCTCTCTTGTCCGTTATTTCTCCCCACAGTTGACAGGAAGCGGCGCACAAGAGATAGAGTGGGATGTGGGCTAGGGTGTGGAGGACAAATGGGCACAGGATGTGGATGGGGATCATGGATGGGATAGGAGGGGAAGGGGGAGTGGACGAGAATGGGCAACGAGATTGAAGTCTATGGAGTACGAAGTACGAACGGTACGCACCTAGGACCAGGGGAGGCGCAGGGACTCCAAGAAGTCGATCGGGTCAAAAGTCAATGAGTTGAGTTAAGTCGAGTTGAGTCGAGTAGGAAGCGAGACGAAGTCTTGGGGGTTTAGATTCAAGCGAGGGTGCTCGGCAGGCAGAGAAAAAAAAAAAGGACCAATGTCGAAGAACGATAACGACAACGGAGACAGCGAGCGGCGACAGCGAGGGCGACGGGGATAGCGGTCTCGAGACGACTCAGGTGCGGTGAGCAGCAAGAATTGAGGGTCGTTCTCTGGTACGGTAGGGTATCCGTACGCGGTACAGACGACAGAGAGCACTGTATCTGTATGTAGAGTCGCAACAAGGTATCCGTATGGGGGACGTGTGTTGTAGGGTCACGACGGTTGTACCCAGCAGGCTTCAGCAAGTCAGTGCCGTGCGGAAGAGACCTGGCGCGTGAGGCAAAAGTGGAAAAGGCGACGGGACCGAAAAAAAAGGGATCCGCGTAAGTATGGAGTCGAAGTCCGACGATGAGGAGTATTTCCAAGAGGGACTAGGAGCAGTAGTAGGGGCGGCGGCAACGGCCGGAGGACCACCAGCAAGGTTGCAATCGTTAATTTCCAGATGCCTGCTCCTTTGGGCGAAGAAAGTGTCGATGTAGGGACAAGCGTGTGCTGTAGGCGTCTTGGTTTTGACTTGTGCTTTTGGCACTGGGAAGAGTCGACGAGGTTGTGGAGGGGGGCGTTCGTTTGGTTTTGGACGCACAGACTGACTTTGGGTAGACGGACCGGGCAGAGGGTTGAAAAGCAGCTTGAGCTCCGAGGCAGACGCGAGGGAAGAAGTGGGCTGAACGGCGGGTCGAACCTGTGAGGGCGAAGTATCTTGAAGGTACTGCAAGTTCCGCAGACCGATTCGAGCTTTGGGAAGATGGAGGTGTGAAAGACCGCAGCAGGGGAATGCGACTGTGACTGCGACTGCGACTACTGCTGCTGCTGCTGGTGATGCCGATGCGTAAGGTAGGCTGGCGGGGAATATGCGAGATGTATTCGTACAGACTGAGAGTAGGTATGCAGTGTGCGTGTGTGTGTGTGAGGTGCAGCTTGCAGAAAGAGTCGATGTGCCCTGGGTGGAGGTGAGAGCAACGAGATATGGGATATGATGGACTGGACGGTTTCTCTGAAGTCTGTCTGGCCCAACTTGTATTCGCAGGCTAGTCAAGAAGAGTGGGAGAGAGAGCGAAAGAGTGAGTGAGTGAGAGAGCGCGCGCCAGGCGATGCGCGATGCGAGCGAGATGCGAAACGAAACGAAGCAGAGACAAGGCGACGAGTGGAAGCAGGTATTCGTGGTTGTAACGCAGTACCCGTACTCCGTCGTGCCGTGAGGTGGTGGACGGCGATGTTTCAACGTAGGTGTCGTGGGTGTGCAGCGCAGTGCAGTGCCCTCCTAGTTCTCAGGTGCCCGGTATCCGTACCTAAGGTCGGTATTCTATTCGTACGTGAGCAGCTACGCAGGGCAGACACCTAGACACTGGCTTCACTGACAGTGGACGGCGTAGCGCGCTCACTTCACGGCTAGGCGGTCTAAGAGCGTCCAGGAGAGAGTATGGGAAATGGGGCTTGTGATGGGGATTTGGCGTGATTGGGATTGGTTTGGGAGAGTGGGAGGGGGGAGGCGGGAGGGGAAAGGGGAGGGAAGAAAGAAACTCGAAGGTGTAAAAGTGACTCGGGGAACGTCTGGGCAAGCCGCAAAGTGGGTAAAGGGGGGGGGGGGTGGGAAAGGGAAAGAGAAAGAGAACAAATGGTTGGGAGGAGAACTCGAGAAGGGAGGGGAGGGAGCCGATTATTGCCGGGTGTGGAATAGTCTCATTTGGGTGAGTCTGGAGTCGAACCTTTTCTAATGTTCCATTGGCTACCTTAAAGCCTTAATGACCATGTTCATTAACATACTCCGTACGATACTCCGTAGCAATCGTGTATTTAAATGTCGCAGTGCTTTTGTTTCGTTTGCCTGGCTTTCGCTCATTGAGTCCAAGGAAATACACAAATAAACGAGAAAAGGGGTGAGAAGTGTCGACTGAAAATGTGCAAGTATCTTGTGCTCCTTGCTAAATCCCATGCCGCCGGTCAGCCGCCCAGGTGCTGGAATCCAAAAATGTGTACGGAGTACGCAGTAAAAAAAAGCACACCTTGCCTTACTTGGCAAATCTATCCTTGATAAACATCATCGTATTTTCATACTTTGCCCTTATTCTCTAGACCGCATGCTCTCTCTCACCCGTGACCACATAGACACAGCATCATACTGCCCTGTGCTCAGGTCTAGCTCAGAAGTGAACTCATCTCATAACGTCTAGTCGTTCATCGGTGAGTGCGTGGATGAGTGTGTGAGGTCATGTCGAATTCAGTCCCAACTTTGACTCTCACTCTCACCCTCACTCTCACTCTCACTCACTTCACTCTCAGGTGTCAGCAGGAGCCCTGGTAAATTGACAAACACTTACGCACTGACCCCCTTTTTCCAGGGACCTTCTGGATGTACCTTAAGTAAGCCTCAGATGTATCGACCAGAGTCCTCACACATCCGTATCCGCACATTCCAACTCCATCTTCAGGACCCCAACCCCCAGCAACCACCCCCTCCCAACTTCCAAAAGACCCAAACTCCCGTCGGCCCCTCTCACGGGAGCAAACGAGGGAAATTCAAGAAACGCAAAGAAGTCACCCCAATTACCTACGGATACCCAACGTCTACCAAACAGAGCTGGACCGCAGTCATGTCCCTCGTCTCTCCTGATCGCGATGTTTGAACTTCAGTGCCCTCCCTCGCGCTGGCGTACGTTACTGCCCTTACGTTGTACGACGTTAGGGGCCCGCCTCAACTGCGCGCCGGTCCTCTTGTCCCGCAGGCCGGACCACGCACCATCAATCGGAATCCTGCGGCAGCGGTAAGAGAACCAGGAGGGGAAGCAACATCAGACGATCGAGCTGCAAGAGGACCCTTTTTTCCGGTCCTTGTGTGTCTACGCAGTATGGTACATACTTACGCAGTAGCTATTAGGCGCAGGCCTACTATATCTTGCAGAAACGCTGCACATGCAGCCACAGAACGCGTGCCAGCTTCCAACATCCCACATTCCCACACGCTACGCATACACTACACCTACCCACCCTTGCGAAACGGAGGGGGGGAAGCGTCACCAAGGGAATTGCAATTCAAATGCATACAGACACTACGGATACATATTCTGGTCCGGTAGTATGAAAGTATCGACGACATTGATTGTACGTTTGAGCTTGGAATACTCCATGATACACAGAGACTCGAGAAGATACCAGAGGATACGGATACTAGGCAGGCAGTAATTGCCATGGGAGGCTGGTCCTTGTCCTGGTCCTTGTCGTCACCGCTCCTCTGGGCCTGTCATCCACGCTGTCTGTCTGCTGTGCCGCGCTCGGTTTTTTCTCTCCCCCGTCTCTGACCGTCTTACGGAAACAAGTTACGCTATCTGCCCTCGGTGCTATAACCCTTGAACAATTTTCCGGGCCGCCTCCATCCCAGCCAGCTGACGACTGAAGACGAAATTGACCCCGTTGACGGTGAAGGGCAGGAGGCTGGAGACTAGAGCCTAGAGCTTAGCCTCCGCTACATGGTGTAGAGACACAGATGGCAGAATACCTATGTACTGCACCACGTCGGTGACACTGACAGATCCAGCAGCAAGTCCCCTTGCGTCTTGTGTCTTGCCCCTCGTCGGAAACAAACATTGCCTGGCCTGTCAAGTCTCAGGCGAGCAATCCCGGGATAGGCACCCTGCCGACCCGAAGATGGCCCTGGGAAGTTTGGGACCACTGATGACTGGGCAGGCATCGCGGGTCGCGGACAGCGGCGCATCCTCACGGCTCTCGCACTTGGACCACGGTACACTGTAGAGCAACCCGCCCACACGCTACGAATTACAAAGACGTGGGAAAACGTGGGAACCCGGCCACTTGTCACTTTGGGTGGATGCGGATGTTTCAACATTCTCCGGCTGTCCCCTGGTTCTCGAATTGTTCCAGCCTCGTTTTTGTGCAAAGATTGGGCTTCTGCCTCGTGTCGCGCCAGGATTGTGCCTGTCTGGGCCCCTCGATCCAAGAAAGCCACCTGCTCCGTTGCATCTCAACCAACGTCCCGAATGTGTCCTAGCCAGGCAGCCGGTTCACTCTAACTGAGAAGCGCTACTGCTACTCCAAGATGGTCGGGTCAATATAAGGCGGGCGTCTCCTTTTCGTGCAGTGACCGAGTTAGCGCCCCTTTACGGAGTAGTTTTCCGAGAAGTGTACCGACCCGTTTCTTCCGGTCTGGCCCGCGTCTATTCGGCCGAGTCATGGGATGGCAGGCGAGAGTGGCCGCTTTGCCCGTGGCTAGCTGACCATAGGGTCAAAGAGCTGGAGCCTGGAAGGGGCCCCGCGAGGCAGGCCGGTCGTCAACGTGGAACGAGCCCCTGGAAGCTCATCAGCGGTGCCTCCGTGCCGGACCGCCGATCAGTCATTCACGGGTCTATGACTCCATGCGCCATATACCGGTGTCATCTCCAGACAGACACACGGTGGCACGGAAACGCGCCTCCACCTCCATGTGCATGTCGGGCTCGGCTTCGCTTACCACGTCCTTACATTTTGGAGCTTGATATGACGGGCAAGTGCGACGATGGGCGTATCTGAACCTCATTTCGTCTACCCTCCACGTCTCGGCCCAACGCCTTGTTTGAGTTGCATATCTACGGGGCTTCCCCTCTCTGATGTAAGGCAGGCCACAAAGAAGATGCCGCGAGAGCAAATTGCTATCAAACAGTCTCGATACTGCCTTCTCCGCATCCACTCTTGGCATGATGGAGAACGGAATGGCGGATCATGGGTGAGACGGTTGAACATGCGGTTCCTGTTTCCAAAATGTACAACAGGTTGCCTAATGATTAAGGCCCCTCGTAGGCTTGAAGTCGCACATCTGCTCACAATGGATGCTTGGACTTCTAGAAGTCTAGCCAGCCGAGCACAACTTTGGTAAACGAAGGGGCTAAATAGTGATAACGATCTGATATCAGGTTGCGATCACGCTGCGAGGAAAGGCAGAGTTTGGACATTTCTCATTATTTCATGCGTTCTATGTAAAAGGTAGTCAGAGCGAAGACGCTGCTACTTGTCCAGATCACGCCCCTTGAAGGCTGACCGAAGGACTATGTTGCCATTCGCAGCGCCACGCCGGGTATTCAGATAGAGGGTGCGTATATGCGTGTCGCCAGGTTGGAAGAGGTTGATGTCCCTACCCTGTTTAACAGCATCGTCCCCCTTTTTTTGCTTTTTCAACATTCTGGGATCTCGTCCGCTCGTCGTTCTTAGATACTGCGAACCGAGGACCGTAACCGAGACCCATCATCCAACATAGCGTCCCCAAACCAAGTTCCACTCGTGGCCACTGGCGCCTGTACTTAGGCGACGGTGGCCTTCTCCTTGGGTAAAGGGGTGAAGCGCAGGTAGGGCTTGACGATGCGGACCTCGGGGAAGAGCTCCTTGGCCTGCTCGGTCTTGATGGAGGGGTGGACGATGACGTCGTCGCCGGGGACCCAGTTGATGGGGGTGGTGATCTTGTGCTTGTCGCCGGTCTGGAGGGAGTCGACGATGCGGAGAACCTCGGCAGAGTTGCGGCCGGTGGAGGCCGGATAGGAGAGGATGGTGCGGATGGTCTTCTTGGGGTCGATGATGAAGACGGAGCGAATGGTGAAGGCGATGCCCTTCTCGTCGACGTTTGTGGTGTCCTGGTAGTCGAGCATGTCGTAGAGGAGGGCGACCTTGCGCTCCTTGTCGGCGATGATGGGGAAGGCGACCTTTGAGCCGGTGACCTCGTCAATGTCCTTGATCCAGCCCTCGTGGGAGCCGAGGGTGTTTGCGGAGAGGCCGATGAGCTTGACGCCGCGCTTGGAGAAGTCGGGCTCGAGCTTGGCGAAGGCGCCGAGCTCGGTGGTGCAGACGGGGGTGTAGTCCTCCGGGTGGGAGAAGAGGACGACCCAGCTGTCGCCGATGAAGTCGTGGAAGTCGATAGGGCCGTTGGTGGTGTCGGCCTTGAAGTTGGGGGCGACGGTGCCGAGGCGGAGGCTGTTGTGTGCGACGTTAGCATTGATTTGGTGGACGTGGTTTACGTGGTGACGGCGGGGGGGATATCACGACGCGGGGTCGAGTTCAAGGATTGTAGGTTGACAACTTACGGAGCGGGGCGTTGGTCAGCCATTGTGTCTGTCTTCTTTGTAGAGTATGAGAAGATGTATGTGTGAAGGGGTATATGGTGTGGAAAGAGAACAAGGAGCAAAAGAAACAGTAATGGGGAAGGCTGCGGTAGATGGTGTGGGAGTCGAGGTGTAATATATAGCTCGAAGCCGCGCCCCAGGCACAGTCCAGAGCAACGTACAAAGCCTGGCCGTTTTCGTACCTCTGTACCTGTACCTTTTTCTCAGCTTCCCGCAGCTTTCCCGTTCTCAAAGGTACCTCTCCAAGTTGTCCCCTCCTTGGTCTCGGAGTACTAGCTTTCTTTGCCCGACACTGACTATGTACATTTTCCTGAAGGCCTGTTTCCCTATTTTCCAGCCTTTGACTTTTACCTTGATGTTGCCTATTTCTCCGTTGTTTGTTTCTTTGGTCTCGTAGTATTACCTTGTCTCCGGTTTGACGATATGGTCGCCGAAGTGCCAAGCTCATGCAACCTACGCGATCCAGCTTGATTACAACTCTCAGCATATGCCCCAATGAAGCGTCACATCACCCAGCATTGGCATTGGCAACCCGTGGAAAGCCACGGAATCTGCTGGGTGACGGGCATCCTCTCTACCTCTCTATCTTAGCAAAGAAATGATTTGTCTTTGTACCCGTGTCTCCCCCCCAAACTGGCACGTTGTTCCCTCAACGACGAGCGGCAAGCTCCTCCAACTTTTTGCCCCGCGTTGGAGGGGCTGTGATTTTCACTTTTGCAGAGGTCACTTTTACCCCTCCAAGTCCGAAATCGGCTAGACTCGATGGCGTGCTCGATTACATCATCCTTGGCTCAGGGCACATCATGAGAAATCACATCCCAACTGCAGTGAAGAAGACGCCTACTGGGCCCCTTTGGGAGAACCCTTACGGCGCTATCTGGAGAGGCTAACCCGCTAGGAAGTGCTCCAGCCTCCAGGGAATAAGGCAGAGTGTGTCACTGTGTCTACGGAGTATTGTTTTCTTATCTGGGAGCTCAAGGATGTGGTCCACTTTGGTCGTCACCTCCCGTCTTGTTATGTGATGCCGTAGATATTCTTTAGCAGTGTGTGAAGCCCAAGATATATGCAAATGTACGGAGTAGCCCAAACATAACTACTCCCCATTGAGCCTTGAGATACGTATAGTATGGCTTACAGAAAAACGTCCAGCGGCGATCAATGGTGCAATCCAGTCGACAACCTCCAGCTCACTGACCCCCACTGCTTGGTCACCGCATCATCCACGCCGCACATCGAACCATCACAAAAGAAGAATCCTAGGAGGTGCCACGGCATCAAGGGTACCCGAATCGTGGTGCTCCGTACCCCAAAGCTTACCCATCGTGCCATCCACCACCCCGGTAGCTCCTCGCACGCCATCGCCGACAACCGATGCCCCTCCCGTCTCACGGTCCCACTCACATCGCCGACCTCCTCCGTTCCCGCGCCGACTGCCGGCTGCCGATCCCCGGGCTCAAAAAGGAGATCCATCCTGGAGCATCGTGGAGATGGGTAACCTGTGTTTACTCTCTAGTGTGTCATGTTACTTCTGTCGAGTATCTCTGTCTGGCACTCTCTGGATTACAAATCTGTCGTGGAAGCCCTCAAGGGCTTGGCTTCCCTGCTGACCACATCTGCAATTATGGCTACAAGATGAGCGTTGGCATCCATACTTTCCCCGGTGCCTGTATGCCTGTATACCTTCCCCTGCCATCTGCTAAGGAATCAAGGGTTGACTTGCCCGTCTCCTAGCCCGGGTTGTCGCTACTTGGCAAAGAACGGAGAATCTTCAAGACTACCCAAAAACCATTTCATTTCCAAACCCATCATGGTCGAGACAAGTGTCACAATGACGAGGAAGGAATTCTTATCCCCTACGGCCAACTCCCGTCGACAATGCTTCGTTGGAATCCTATCTAGTCTCAACGTGCCACTGCTTTCTAGTGAAAGTAGAAACGCAATTTGACGGGCATCAATCATCTCGGTAAAATGCTGCGCCACTCGGAAGGATCATCAGCGTTCTCACGCGCCTCAACCTGTGGTTTGCTCTGGACAAGACTACAGCAGAGACACGGAAGCTTGACAGCTGAGTCGTGAGCTGGAAGTTTCAAGGTCGAATTGACGGGGGTCCATGGCAAAATGCTGCTGCCTTGTGCAGACGGAGCTGACCTCCGTAAGAATGCCCCTCTTGGAATCTCTGCCTAATATCGGACGCCCTTTTACGTTCTTTGACCGGACAAAGACGACAATTTGCTATACCAGGAACAAGTAGGAAGAAAAAAAGACTCAGCTTGAGGAAAAGGTCGGCATCGGCATCGATATCGACACCGACATCGACATCGGCATCAATTACAACGGGAACACTCTTCACTGGTGGTTGGAAAACATCAGTCTCTAGAACCCCCATATCATACCAGCCATACCCAAACAAGAACCATGGATCCAAACTACACAAAAGCCGAAACAAAAACCTTCAGCCTCCCAGACGGCCGCACCCTAAGCTTTGCAGTCTTTGGCGCCGGCGCAGAGACATTCCACACCACCCCATCACCCATGCAACAAAACCAACCCCGTCTGGCGTCGGCCGTGCTATTCTACTTCCACGGCTTCCCCAGCAGCCACGAAGAAGCCTCAATCTTTCACCAAGCCGCACGCCGCCACGCCGTCCAGATCATCGCCATCGATCGACCAGGCCACGCCGGCTCCACGTTCCAACCCAACAGGCGCATTCTAGACTGGCCCGCTGACGTCCTCGCCTTCGCAGATCATTTTCAGATTCCCCGGTTCGGGGTCCTGGGTCTTTCGGGGGGCGCACCGTATGTTTTTGCATGTTGGAAAGCCATCCCGCGCGAGAGGCTCGTGACGGCGGGAGTTTGTTCGGGGTTATACCCCCCTGAGCTTGGGTACGCGGGCATGCTCCTTCAGGGACGGGCGATGTTGACCGTAGCACCGTGGATCGCGCCGGTCGTGGCGTGGGGTATGGAGATGTCGCTGGGCAGGGCGGCGAGAGACGAGGCAAGACCCGGGAGGTTTGAGGAGATCGTGCTGGAGGATTTGAAGACGAGGCCGGAGGTTGATCGGGAGGTGTTGAATGGGGATGTTGACGGGGTCCGGTCTGCTATGCTTGCTAGTGTGCGGGATGCTGTTTTGCCTGGGGGATGGGGCCCGGCTTGGGATGTCAAGTTGGCGGGGAGTTATTGGGGGTTCGAGATTGCGGAGCTTGAGGTTGAGGCTGGGGAGATGGTTTGGTGGCATGGGAGGGAGGATGTGAATGTGCCGGTTGGTCTTGCGGAACGGGCGGCGGAGTGTGTGCCTGGGGCGGAGGTAAGTTTTGTGGAGGGGGAGGGGCATGTTAGTCTTGTGGTGCGCAAGGCGGACGAGGTTATGTCTACTCTTGCGGGCCTGTTGAGGGAGACAGATTGAAGGCTCGGTATTCATCACGGATGTCAAAGGGGCCAGTTTGGTATGTGATATTTATTGTGTTACTGGTGACTATGCACTATTTCTGTTATAGCCGTGCGTCTCTCCTACTGGCTCCGGGAAGCCTTGAATACTGTGTGAGCATCGACGCTCTGGTATCTCCGGTCATGTGCCGTTTCCCTCAACTCCATTCAGCGGGGAGGGCTAGCCGGAGGAGTAGGGGGATCAGTGTTGGGCGAAGGAGGATCATTGCTCTCGCTGTCCGTCACTTTGATGTCCGTCTTGATCGTAATGTTCATTTTGGGTCCGGTGGATGACGAAGACTGAGGCATCTTGTGTACTGTATTAGTGTGGGTGGTGAGTGAGGTGAGTGTAAAATATGGAAAAAGATCGAGGTAAGCTGTTCTAATATGTTGTTCTGTGGTGAGGTAGATGTATGATGTTGAGAAAGATCGAGAAATGCTAGTGTATTGAAGCTGTCTGTGACGATGTAGAAAGAATTGGCTTTGATGGGTCGAAACATCTCGGGTCTATATACTTTCCACTGTCTGTATCGTGAATCATCTACGAGGGATCACGCGAAGTAGTGAAGATGGCTGAAGTGGGATTAAAACATCGTGAATAACGATTCCATCGTTCTCTACGGTACATAATCCGGTTGACCGGATAACTGAACAGATACCAAGGTGTACTTTGTACGTGTCTTTGTCAATTCGAAAGCGAAATAAAACTAAGTAGCTTGGACATTCTTCGAGTCGGCTCCGCATTGCCTTTCTTTATCTTGAGTAACTAAGATGTCAAGAAACGGCGCAGCTAGCCGTTCGAACTCGCCATCCCATTACCTCTAGAAGATTTTATACCCCGGCCAAGGAATAGACTGCGCTTGATCGTCAGCGATGGCAGCCCAAGGTTAGTTACGTAAACTCCATTCTTGGAAGGCATTGAGACATCAGCTTTCATGGGGAAGGGTCAAGGTTGTATGAGGTGTTGAGTATAATGTGTCAACTAGCTATGTTCTAAGCGAATGAAGTAAGTAGGAAAGTGGTATCTCGTTTGCAGTAAAACAGTCCCAAGAATAGAAATCTACAGCTTCACCCGTCCACCGTTGAGTTCATCCCAATCCCGCCCAGAGAAAGGCTCGTAGGTGTTGTTCTTCAACCAATACACTTCGCCAGCGGCGTCCGTGCCGCCCGGCCTGACACCCTGGGATCGGAGACCGTGCTTCTGCTGCTTGTTCGTACCCGTCGTTTGCATAGCCTCGGGAGGCATGACTCGCAGGAAGATGGGCAAAGCATACTTGGGTAGTGACTGCTTCACGTGCTGCGCAATGCTCCTCAGCACCTCCTCGGATGGTTGGCCCTGAAGGACAACGGCAGCACACCCTGCGCGTCCGTCGTGGTTGGGCAGCTCAACACCGTAGACATTTGCCTCTTGTACCAATGGGTGTGAGCCAACGGCCTCGCCAACCTCTTGTGTCGACACGTTTTCACTCTTCCAGCGGAACGTATCGCCAATGCGGTCGGTGAAGTAGAGCCTTCCTTCACTGTCCCAGCGGACCACGTCGCCCGTCCTGAACCAGGCATCTCCCTTTTTGAAGACGTTCCGCAAGACCTTTGCCTTTGTTGCGTCTGGATTGCCGTAGTAACCCTGGAAGCGGCGGTTGAGGTCGTCGGGCGAGAGTCTGAACATGAGCTCTCCGGGCTCACCAGCCTTGGCAGGCCTGCATAGACCCGTCTTCCTGTCCCTCCAAGGCTCCTCGTTATTCTCATCCATCTCGGCGAGGGCAACGTCGAGGCCCATGACGACGCTGTACAGGGTGCCGTTCCGTCCAACAGCGCCCTTGGCAAAGTCGTTTCGGCTCAAGTTCCAGGTTCCAAATGAGCCTTCGGTGGCGGCGTAGAATTCGGCAATGGTGTCGATGCCGAACCTCTCCTTGAACCTGTTCCACACGTCCGGTCGCAGGCCATTGCCAAAAGCTACCCGAACATTGTGCTTCTTGTCGAGACTTTCACCGGTGACGGGGTCGACTTGTGGGGCAGCTGCAAGCAAGTACCTGCAGGTCTCGCCAACGTACTGGATGATGGTGGCCTTGGAGGAGCGAACCTCCTCCCAGAAAACCTTGGTCGAGAACTTCCTTCCTATGCAAATCGTACCACCCGCCTCGAGGGTATTACCGAATCCTAGCAGGGCTGCGGAGCTGTGATACAACGGCATAGACTAGATTCCTGTTAGTTTGGGGTCCATAGTGGGTTGATGGTTCGACTTACAGTGTAGAAGACGTCATTGGGAGAGTTGCTGGTCAATCTTGATGTGAAAACACCACCGACGATGCATTTCGCCCAGGACACAATGGCGGGTTTGGGCATGCCCGTTGTTCCTGATGTGTAAATCAGGATCGCCAGGTTCTGATACTGGCTCTCTGACCGATCAGAGTCGGGAGCACGCCTGGGCTTAACGGTGTCGATTTCTCTGTGCAAGCTCTCATCGAGCACCACGAACTCCACGGTGCTCAGCTCACTCCTCACATCTTCAGTGACATTGGCGGCGACGTTGGGGTCAATCAGCATCAGTTTCGTCTTCGCGGCCTTGGCGCAGTGAGCTAGCGGTTTGCCAGTCAAATTGTAGTTGATGAAGGCTGGCTTCGCGCCAATGGACCACAAGCCGAGCCATAGGAAAACGAAAACGTCAGAGTTCTGGAAGTTGATGGCGACAACGTCCTTGGGCTTGACGCCGTGGTGTTCCCTCAACCAGGTGCCATATTTCAGGACTTGCTCATAAGTCTCGCGGTAGGTGTATGTTTTGCCCTCGAAGATGATGAACGTGCGATTGGCAGACGATTTGTTCTGTGCCGCTTGTTCGAGGACGTAAAACTGGTTCAACCGGTCCGTTCGCTCGCGCCACAGAGCCGAAAGGGTTGCGGGTAGCGCACATGAAAGCAGCTTTCTGTCGTACCACAAAGAAAGGCGAGCATTGATGTACGAATAAGCTGCGGCTGCAGCCGGCAGAGCGAGTGCGAGCGGGACTAAACGGTGAGGAAACGAAACAAGTCAGCGCGATCGGCCCCCAACGATGTTTTGTGCAGATGGCTGTGTCGAGGCAGGCTGATGTAATGCGCGATTGCGGCGCATTGGATGTGTGCCAGAGGTCGGTCTCCTTTACGGTGGTTTTTATTTGTCTTGGCGGGGGTCTCAAGCAGGGCCAAATAGTCATGACGACAGAGTGGGAGCCGTGGAGGAAAAATTGGCAGTTGGGGAAAGCTCACTCACCAGGCATTTTCGCTTTGGCCAAGTGGCCAGTATTTGGATCCGGCTAGAGGTGATTCGTCCCAAAGGCTGAGAGTTATGTTGGTGTTCGTAGAGAGATGAGAAGGCCGACTGACAGGGAGGCGGAGAGTGGCTAGTTGTCTTGATTGTGCGCCTGGGTGTTGGTTCGGTGTGTGTGAGACTCGGAATCAGTAGTGTTGTCTGGAGCTGTAGCTGGTAAAGAGAGCTTCAAGGCCGTGCTGGTATAGACTGGAAGTCCTCGTCGAGTAAGGATAGCTTGGAGGAAGGGCAACGTAGTCGAGACTTCACAGACAAAAGATGCAGTGAGCCAATTGCGCGAGGGTGTGGGTGAGGATAGGTATTTGTAACGGCCTGTCGAGGCTGTCACAAGATAAGAAAGGGTTTAAAAAGTAGAAAGCCTGTGTTGCAGTCGGCATTGGGATGTGTCGTCCCTGGTTTGAGGGACCCGTACGGGGGGGAAAAGATGGGATAAAACTACCTGTCGGTCCTATCATGCACAACACGACACGACACGACACGACACAACACGACGCAGCAGCACCTTTTGCACCCACCTCCGATTCTCGCCAAACAGTATCCGTACTCGGTGCGGTACTTCCTGGGAAGCAGTGACCTCAACAGTCGGCTGTTGGGATGTGGGAGCCCATGTATGGAGTACCTCTTTGACTGGGTACAACTTGGCGACCAGATGGGCGGGACAATGGAGAATATTCTTCTATGGGGCCCTGGACCAGGGTTGGGGTGGCGGAGAAAGCTCTTGATCAACGATGAATCGACGGTGCACAAGGTCCTGGCATGACATTCCTTCTCGACAGCCGAGGAATATGACCAGCTACGACTGTCACGTTGGCGCTTGTGTTGGCACTGGTGCTTGCTCGTGGTGCAGCTGCACGCGCTTGTGGAACTGGCAGGTTGACTTTTGGCCTCGGTGTAAGTCGACGGTGGCAGCTCTACTGCGTAATGCTAGCTATGCTTTTGCTTTCCGTGTGCTTGGCCCGTCGCAGGCAATGGCTGGGTTGTGAAGATGGATCCAAGGATGGCATTGCTGGCCTCTCTGGGCGCACCGTGCTGTGCGAGTGCGGTATCAAGTTCTCCTTAGCTCGCCCATCACCGTACGGATACTTTCGCCTGCATGCTGAGGTCGCAATAGTCCTGTGGAAGTGTGGAGAGAGGAGGCCAGCCAGCAGCCGCAGATCGAGTGCAGGCTTGCAGCTCGCTGGTTTGCGTTGCATTTGTGGTGCTCGCTGCATCGCCAGGCTTGGCCTGGCCTGCCAAACTGGGCTAAACGAAGAACAAATCGAAGCTTGAGCCTCGGCATCTGTTGAAGCTCGTGCGCCCTCGCGTCCGTACTCTGCGCCAGAAGTCGTTTTGAGTAACCGATTCGGGAGGGGTGGGCAGCAAACGCAGGCTAAACAGCATGTCTCTGGACTCTTTGATGGATGCTTCTTCAACGGCGAGTTGCGATTCGTCGGCAAGAGAGCGGGGTTGTTCCTTGCGTTCCATGTTCCTGCTTTCCATTGCCAGACCCCCCCAGTCGACCAGATGCATGTCCTGGTCCCCTGCCGCTGTCCGCATCCCTCGTCCAGACGACCCGGTTTGACGGGAGCGAACCTACCGCTCGCTTTCTCTCCCTCTCTCTTTCTTTCGACAGCTACGGACCGCTCGTAACAGATCGAATAGCACGTTTGCGTTTCCGATGAACTTTGCATTGGCAATGGTTGCCGAGGTGTTGGACTTTGGCTCTGCGGCTCTTGACACATTGTCTTCCGCAGGCACTCGAAAGGAGCGCCATATATATGCAACTCGTGGCGGACGTTTGCTTATATCAGCTCACATGAACGACGGCTCGATGCAACAGGGGTCCATCGCGAGTTTCTCTTCCAATGTCTATTGAGAGACGTTCCGGAGTGGAAAGCACATCAAGCTGGTTATCTTGGGGGCCGTGTCGCCGTAATGACTTGACTCGGCTCGACGACGGATCCATCGAGAAACCGGGTATGCATGCCGAGCTGGGAGACTTTGTTGGCTCCCGCACTACGAAGGGATCGCCAGGCTCGCTTCAAAACTCCGAGTACGTTCGCCTTCCTAAAAGGGTAACATTGTTCTTTCTTTTGGTACGATCACGAGTGATTCGTGATAATAGACGACAGCCATTGCGGCAGATTGGAGGGGCAGCTGTAGGTCGCTTCCTCGGCTGATGGTCAGCTCATTCAACATTTTGGGTCGGAGGAATCGGCGACAATATTCGATGCCGGTTCCGCTTCTGCATGTTGGTGGAGCGGACTCGAGGAGGAAAAATCGGGCCTCGGACTCCTGAATTGTCCCTGAATTGGATCGTTGCCGCTCATCCCACCGTCTCACGTCAGCGTTGTCACAGCGAAAAAGATAACGTCTATTCGCCTCCGAGGCGCAGGCGTCAATCGCACTCGCATCCGACGGACGTGCATGGTGACAGCCACACCCAAAGTGCGGGTAGAGAGTGGTGAAGAACATCTGGGAATGCCTTCATTTCGTGGCCGAACAAGAGTCAGATGCATAGCGTACAAGTAGGACCACAGGCGTCTTCCCAATCCGTGATTGTGTCGAGGGTCTGGCAAGGTAGGTATCCGTAGTTGTGGCTTGATGCCGTAACGATGACAGGCATCAAGGCGGAATGATGCTGTCTGACCTTGTTAGACAGAGATTCTGGTTATTATGATCCGACTCTCCAGTTGCATAATGCACGTGACCGCGCGCAGCAATTAAGGTTAAGGTTAACGTGGCTGCGTGGCTACTTGCTCCTTATCTTATCGGGAGCTCTCCTCAAGCGCGACATTGCTGAGTCAAGCATCTCTGGCCTGTCTGAGGTAGGTATGCGAATACCCCTTGCTGGAATTCCACCTCTCATGATCGTCGTGGCTTGCTTGCTGCAGCTTACAACGCTCAACTTCACGACCGCTGCGTAGCTTCTACCGAACATTGCCGCGCACGGCAAAGGCTCATCAAATGCCTGTTGACGACGAAGCGGGCAGCCCGGCAGCCAGCGGTGCGAGCTTCACCCCCGATCAATCCACCACCTCCGCCCCTCCGCCGCAGACCAAGTCCCGCAAGGCTCCGCCCCCCGAGAAGCCATCCGATGCGCGCCGGCGATCGTTTGTCATAGCCGCCTTTTGGGCCATTGTTCTTCTCCTCGGTCTGCCAATATGGTGGATGACAACGAGCATCTACCGCGCCAACCTGCCTCTGAGCGGCATGGTCCAATGGGCGGATGGAAAGGTAGGCTCCTACCAGCTGGCGTCTTTACAAGTTGAGGGAGGGCACCCCGCTGACTACTTGCGTAGGCTTGCCGTCCCGTGTTTCCTCTTCGTATATCAGTACAAGCGAACAAGTTGCAGGAACAGGAAGCGCAGAACCTCCTTCGCCTCACTCAACATGCCCTCGATGATCTCAACGACTTCTCGGGTCATCATCTCCGTCTGCAGCTTGCGCCTCGTGGCGGCGACGACGTCGTTCCTGAGGATGACTCCCAGGTCGCCCTGACAATTCGCCTTAGCCCTGGGGACTCCACGACAGTCTCGTTGAACCCTCACTCTCCTATTCTCGACATCACATATCCCCCGAATTCGATTCCGTCACCGACTTCGTCCTCTTCTGCTCTAGCTTCGTACATTGCGAAAGAATTGCGAACTACCTACGCCGAAGAACAAGCTATTATATCATACCTTCTCTCAGCAGCCTCGGGAGCTTCTGATGCGAGACCTCAGGGGATGTCGCCAGAGGCAGCCGAGTCACTGGCGAAGCGAACCACCCGTTCTTTGCGGTATTCACCGACGTACCACTTGAGCTTCTCGCTCTTCACTAGCGGCTCTGCCCCCAATACCTGGGACATCGAAGCAGCTATCCAAACATACATGAAGCCCATGCTTGATGTGTTGAGCCCCATCCACAACTTCACGATAGATACCCAGGTGCAGCTGTATGCAACACCAGGGGCGCAGTCCCAGGTTTTGAACAAAGACGACCTTGCCTCCTTCATCAACGCGGCCGAATGGCCCCTTTCGCCGTCCATCGGTGGTGCGCCGACGGTAAACTTCCTTCTCTTCGTCGGAAATCAAACAATTGGATTGGATTCGGGGTCCGAAACATCACAGTCCTGGCTCATCCCGCAATGGGGAACTGTTTATCTTCTGTCGCTGCCTCCGACGACGTCACATGTGCCGGCTGCTACACTCAAACAACCTATGCTTACCTTTGCTGGGCACTTGCTGTCACTCCTTGGCACTCCTCAGTCAGGCTCTCTTCCTTTGCGGCTCTCGACTCTCACGCGCATCCGATCCGCAGACCTCTTGCTACGTGCATCCTCTACCCTGGGCTCCCTGGCAAGACTGTCACTTGCACTGCCGTCTATATCCATTCCCCGCAACGTTGCAGACGGTGTTACCAAAACCATGCATCATCTGGAGCTCGCGTGCGCCAGCCTAGGCGGGCCCGAAGGGTTGGAGCATGCTAGAATCGCTGAGGCCGAGGCCGAGCGAGCGTTTTTCGAGAAGAGTATGGTCGGACAACTATATTTCCCCGACGAACATAAAATCGCCGTCTATCTGCCGCTTTTAGGGCCGGTGGGAGTGCCCCTCGTGATGGGTCTGTTGAATGAAATCAAGGCATGGAGAAAGCGGAGACGAGAGAGAGCCGAGGCAGAAGCTAGAAAGAAGCTTTAGAACGTGATGAGTTGACATGACACAGCGAGTGCATATTGGCCTACACAAATAAAGTTACCAGAATTTTCGCATCCCATAAAATCGTGCCTGGCTCTCAAATCTTAATGTCTCCGGCGGTGGCAGTAACATCATGTCGGCTGATAAGGTGTGAAGTTTGGAGCAACACATCCAATCCTCATATGAGCTTGGCGATGACCTTGAGTTTTGTCACTAGACGTGCTTGATTGCGGCGGAGAAAAGTCTATTGGCAATAAGCAGCCTATCTCCATTCATATCGAATCCATTTAGACCTGGACGATGTGAACCTCGGTGGATAGGTAATCTCCGTGTTGTCTTGGGCAGCAAAGGTGAGCGTCGGTGAGATTAGGTAAGCATCGGTGAGACTATCTAAGGCCCATGCTTGCATAGATTACCTCATGGTGGGCACCTGTCACACCCCGTCGGTTCCGATCTTAGCGCTGAGTGCAATCCCTGCGCTCCAACGCCACCTCGAAGCTTGCTCGTTGTCTCCGACGAGGGGGCTTGTCCACATCCAATGCCCAGCACCGCGCTGACGTCGGCCACAATCCTTTTCTCCATTGCCATTTAACCCCCCATCGGCGTTAACCCTTCCAACACAATTAGGTATACAAGGCTCGAGGGCTCAGCTGTCATCGCGCATTAACGGGCGCTGGGACGCAATCACAAGCTCTGGCTCGTCTCGACTCGACTTGGATGGTCTGAACCCATTGACCTTTTCTCGGCACAGCCTTCGCAAACCTACCATCTCCACTCCACAAAGCCAACAACAACGCATCGTCTCGCGCTCTCTCTATTATCATCGACGGCCTGAGCAATGTCTCCACTATGAAGAGCAGAACATGCTTCCCGAACCGTCTCTGAGCTTCACGCTCCCTAGCCTCCACGATGACACCGTCTTGGACTGCCGTTTGTATCATTGCCAGGCACTGAACCCCTCCGCATCGAACCCGCCGCCATGGAGACGACACGCTGCCGTTGTCGCACATCCCTATGCGCCCTTGGGCGGTTCCTATGACGACCCTGTCGTCGACATCGTTGCCGCCACACTACTGCGACAAGGCTTCCTAGTGGGGACTTTCAACTTCAGGTAAGAATTGATCGGCTTGTGGACGTTCTCACAGCGAGGTTATTCGGTCACTCACACGATGATCAACAGGGGCGCTTCCGGATCAGCAGGTCGTACCTCATGGACGGCAAAGCCAGAACGCAGCGACTACATGTCATTCATTGGCTTCATGGTCTACTACATGCACTTCCTCGATCCCTACGGATCGGCCAGTGCCCGCTCGCCGACAACGACCCTGTCCCCAGGCCTCCCCGACGCCCAATCGAAGCCTCCTTCTTACCAACCCCTCCTCCTCATCGGCGGTTATTCATACGGAGCCATGGTGACGACGCAGATTCCACCGATGGCGCACATTCTCGCACAGTTCAAGGTGCCTGCAGCTGGCTCCGCGGCTGCTGACATCCGTCTTCGAGCGCAACACCTGGCAGAGCAGCAGAACGTCATCTTGGCGAGCGCTAGAGCTGCGAGTTCCGTATCACCGCGAAAGAAATACCTTGGCATGCGAGTCGGGGGCGATGAAGATACTCAGCGCAAGAGTCACGAAGCTCGAAGATCCATGTCGGAAACGAGGAGATCCTTTTCTATTGACGCCGAGGATAAGATACGACGGGGCGTTAATGATTTACTGGCGAAAACGAAAAGACATCATCACAAGGGCGTGGCGGTGCCCCAGGAAAAATTGGCTACTATACCTTCGAACCAGGACGTTTCTGTTGTGGTGGAAGAGGTTCCGAATCTGACCCAAGTCCGGCCGGCCTATCTACTCGTATCTCCGCTGCAGGGAGTCATTACCCATCTAGCAGCTATGTCATTCCTTCACACAACACCTGGTCGAGGACTGTTCTCGCGGGGTGGAGGAAGACCTAGAGAGCAGGGGGCGCCGACCTTTACGGCGGATCAAAAACATCAAAGTGAGAGCAAGCTGATTGAAAATGATACCTTGGCATTGTACGGCGACAGAGATATCTTCGTTCCCGTGGCCAAATTGCGAGGGTGGGTGGAACGTCTGGAAGGGACCGACGGATCCCATTTCCATGGCGAGGAGGTTTCGTCGGCTGGGCACTTTTGGACGGAAGGGAACGTGGCTTCCGTCCTCCGGGATAAGGTCTCGGACTTTGCGGCGAAGCTATTACATGGGGACAACGAAGGTAGACCAGTCAGTGAACCGGCGTAGGCACATTCGTGTGAACGTACCTCGGAATTTCAAAGTGGCAGTGCACGAAGGACGCAACCGCCGCCTTATTCAACGAATGATTAGAAAATGGGCGTGTCAGAATACTTCACTTAGGACGATATGAGAAACGTGTTGGATGTCAGCGAGTGTAAGCCGCACAGCGATACATGAAAGAGCAAGGCGTAGAAAGAGCGTGAACACTGTTGGAGTTTGATTCGAGGCGCCCCTGTTGGTGTCTGTAGGTAGTTTAGTGATGACATTTAACGAACACGGGCAAATACAGGTCACGAAGACTGTGTCAAACGGAAGAACCGACGTGATGACGGTCCCAATCTGACCTTGAAAGCCCGTGTCTTCCTTCCCCTATGTTACAAGATACTGCCTTTTGCCATCTTGCAATCCCAACAATACCGAAGCTATCGCGGTACAACTCGAGACCCCTTCAACGCTAGCTAGAAGCAGAGGATCGTCGATCATGTAGTACTACGAAATCACTCATGGATGTTCACCGTCCTGTTGGCCCAAGGTGACAGCCTCTTCTGAGTCCCATAATAACCAGATACCAAAAAAATGTCTACAATGATAAAAGAGTTCACCCCCCCCCCCCCGGTGCTGAACTGGGGGCTACATCTCTTGGTGCTCATGCTGGGAAGAAATTTATGGTGCTCAGGCTGGGATTCGAACTCAGGTACTCTCGTATGCGCTGAGCCTGTCGTCGAGTAGGCTGGTTGGCGATTTTATTTGTCGACCGTAAACCTCTCCACCACCCAGCCAGTTTGACCTGACCCGTCGACCTAGACGGGCGCCTGCTGGCTGGTGAGAGGAACGGAGTTGAGAGGGGGTATATACCCTTCTCGTGTATTCAGATGGAAGGTGCGAGTGTTCCACGGGTCGGTGGCTTCTTTCCCATCAAGGTGCCCTGCAACGTGCCCTGCCAACCTGACCGATATCACCATTTTTTGCTCAGGAAAATGAAGCCGCCGTGAGGCCCTGTCTCTATATATCTCTGCATCTTAGAAGACGCATTCGTTTTTGTTGATTCTATGATAGGTATATACGTAAATACGTAAGACCCTGGAGTGGTGTAAATTGGCATCCGCGGATAAACCTACTCAATGGTACATCTGAATTGGCGGACTGGCAATGTTATCAATCCCCATAAGGAAACATGGCATATATACGAAATATAGGTAAAGCTGACTGTATTGTCTGCTATTATTTCGATGATAGCCGAAAAACTTATCATAGGGTAAGAGTAGAGACCTTGAGGGTGGCCTCACTTCTCACATTACCTGAATGGGTTTCGTTGACGACCTCGGCGCGATTGGCGAAGGTAATAGGGACGAGTTGCCCTTTCTTCGTGGCTACAAAAAGCCGTTTTAGGACCCAAAACAGTATCCCGCGATGTCCGAATCTTGGCGGTGAGAAGTGTCATCATAAGGCCATTACTTTACCCATGCAGTAGTAGAATTGTCACTAGCATGGCCACTTGTGCCGTCGACTTGCATGATAACTATGTCGGTCTGCCATGGACGCAAACAGTGAATGGGAAGTCAAGCAAAACGAGTCAGGGTTCTGGTAGCACAAAACGGCCAAGACTGGACTGCGCTCTAGGGCATTGGATCTGCTTAGAGTAAAGGGATCGATCGGGCTTTGGGAGAGTGATTACGTTTACGAACATGAACAAGATCAACCATGAGACGCAAGTGTGGAGACGGAAGCGGCAGAGTTCTGAATCATGAGGTCGGGTGTGCATCTGGGTAGAATGCTCCGGAATAAGATCGGGATTATAATTTGGGGAGGATAATTACGTATAGATTTTGCAATCATGCTATTCTGCCTTTGACTCTGATTACTCTGGACTGTTTACATAGTGTGCAAATCAAACGGTTTATGAGAGGAATATCCATCTACGTAGCAAGGCCGCCGTTGAAAGCGTTGTGGGCGGCAGTTGAATATTTCCCTTTTTTCTCTTAGTGGTGTGGGGAAGAGAAACACATAGATTCCGGAGTGCATGAGTGACCGGTCCTTGAGCGTTTCTGGGCACTCAGATATTAATGGGGTAGAGCGCTGAGATAGATCATGATGCGGGGTGCGAAATCTAGAGTGACATTCCAAGTTCAAGGCCCAGGAGCACCCATTATGCCTTTTGCTCAGCTGATGGAGGCCAGAGTTGAAGGCCGGAGAGTTAATCTCAAGTCCCTACAGAACAAGACGGCCTGGGACCATCTTTGGTGACAGGCGAGGCAAGCGGCGGCGGCGGGAGCTGACTATGGGAGATGAGACGGAATGGAAAGTTCGCCGGGCGGCCTGTCCCGGAGGCTGTTGGTGTTGGTGTTATGGTGATGGTTGGTACGTGTGCGGATAACATGACCGGTGTTCAAACGCTCTATTTTCGAGATGAAGAGTGGATGGTCCGGCTTTTGCTGGAGATACGGGCAAAGAGTGTCACATCATGTTACGGGCCTGAGCAAGGCAAGGCAAGGCATGGCAGAGGGCGGGATGTTAAAAGGGTAGAGTAGAGAACTGTCAGCTGAGTACATACCGGAGCGGAATGCAGCGGGTGAGATGTGACGCTGAAGAATGAAATCATGGTATGCGAGTCTAGGTATTGTGACTGAAGAAAAAAGATATCGATAAACAGAAGAGAAGACTGGGAATGAGAGTGAGAGGCACATGTGAGGAAGTGAGTGAGCGAAAGTCTGCATGTGGAGACGAGGCGTCAGGCGAGGGTGTATCGCGGCAGGGCGTGATTGGGTGAGGGTTGACGATGCAGTTGCTTGGTGTTCTGCCCCTCCGTGCCCCTCTGATGTGCTCCGTTACCCCCAGGATCCCCAAATCCGGGGTGGGCCACTAAGCTGGAAGAGTCTGGAGAAGGGGGGCACTGGGGGTGGTCATGATGGTGGGGTGGGGCCGCCTAGCAGAGGTCATCTGCCCAGCGCCTGAGCCGAGTATCCCAGCGAGAGACACAGACTTTGTGTATGTACTCCGTTCTCCGCAAGGTGTAAGGTCCCTTCTAGATCCGGGTTGCCTCTGGTGTTGTGCGTCTGCTGCTGCATCTGTGACTGCGTCTGTTATTGCGTCTGTGAGAGCATCTGTGGTTTTTGCAAGATACCTAGGTATTCAGAGACGAGGAGTTGCTGAGGTAAGGTAGATCCAGATCGACCAATCGATTACCGCTGAATGGCCTATTACGTCTGGCTGTGACGCAGAGACGTTGGCACGTGGACCCCTGAGGGCGGTATGCAGAATGCTCCCCGTCGCCCCGCCTGCTCTTCTGCTTCAGGGCGGCACGGCGGGAGTCAGGACGGTCGGATCAGCAATAATTGCACTGGTTATTGACATGAGCCCCCCAGGCCATCCATTGTGCTGCTGTGTGGGGTCTGCAGCGACTGTCATCACCGTCCACTTTTTTTTTTCCCTACCTGACTTGCCAGGTTCTCCACGTTCCATTCCCGGCCACTGACGGCCAAACGTTGTCACTGGGCCACTTCTTTCCCTCGTCTCCAAACCAAACTCGACGTTGCCAAGTTTCCAATTCCACCTCACTTCGGGCACCTAATACATCCGCTCTTCTTTCTTCACGACACTTCCTCCCTTCCGCTCCCGATCCTCTCTACCAACACATCCTCTCTTCCTTTGCCTTCAGTCTCGCTCTGCTGTTCTCTTTGCTCTTTCTCTCTCTCTCTCTCTTCTGCCTCGCTCAGTCACCGAGACAACATCAAGTAACGTCCAGTCCGTCGCTTCATCTTGGTCCACTCGCCTCCAAGTTCCAACCACTCTACTCGGCATCTGACCAACCATCTCGTCTCGCTTGCGCCCGCCTGTTCCTCTTTACCCTTCTTGTCATCACTTACTACCAAGGAGGGTTACCCTCTCTCTATACCTACTGGTACTCCCGAGTCCTTCAACGCCTCTTCTACCCCCACCGAACAGTAACGACTCTTTCGACTCCTCCGACAAGTCCAACACCCCCTTCCAAACAGGTTGTCCGGTCATCTGCGCTCCATTTCGGCGATCTGCACACTGTTCCCTGTCTGCCTGAGCTCGTGTCACCCAAAGATTACCATAATCACCAAAACAGTGTCATGGGAATCATCTGACAGCCGCAACGCCTACTTTCATACCCTTTGTCTCATTACTCACTGAGACCAAAGTACCGTCACTGGCTTCCTATACGAACTTCTCCCCGACGACGCTTGTCTGGCTGTACAGCCTTAAGAAACGGCATCTTGACCAGAACTCTTCGACAGACGCTTGGCCTATCGCTGCCTACATTCCCACCTCGTCTTTTCTCCGCACCGTCCTACGCTACTTCGCTCTACCCCTCCGAACTCGCTGCCGTCGCGACGACACACCGACGCGCGCATGCTCTGACCGCCCTCAACAACCCAACAAAGAGGAAAAAGCACATGTCAGGAGTCTGTTGCACAACCACGCTCCAAGGCCGTGATGCGACACGGACGGCACCAGGGCTGCCTCTCGTTCACCAGCTTCGTTTCCCGACTTTTCACCTAGCCCTCCGAACCACCATCGTCACCTTCGACCCAAATCCACCCTCGCCATCATGAACGACGTTTTCCTGAATCCTGTGCACCCTCTGCCCGCGATCCGGGTCAAGTCCTCCTCCCCCTCTGGCCCCTCGGCCTCGACCAAACCTGGCCGCCCTTCTTCCATCAAGAAACAACAACCACCGACACCTCTAAATGCTGCCTTTGATTCAATATCCCGGGCCATCAAGGGCGCCAATAACCTTGTCTTGTCTCTTCGTGATGGACTGTCTGAGCTGGAACGGGAAAACAGGAGGAAAAAGGAAGAGCGCAGGCTTGTGCTCTCTATTCACATGAAGAATGTACGTCTGCTCTTCGTTCAGTCCCACGCGTTGCACCAGCCTCAACCAGGTCCGCTAACATATCATCCTTACGTAGGCGGAAAGCAGGAAACAATGGCAGGAAGCCGCAGAAGAGCTCGACATCCTCGAGGAAAACGACCTTTGGAAA